TCAAACGTTTCTCGCCTGAGACACACAGAGGGCTCCACCACCCCACACTCCTACGTCCTACATGAGGGCCGTGTTGCCGGCACAGTTGAAACCTGTTGGGTTCTTTGGTGTCACCTTGTCCTGACCTTGGCGTTCACCTTCCCCACAGCATTGCCTTCTCCTTGTCTGTGAGGTATTTGTCGACCTTCCCTGCATGGTTCTGGATCCCTGGACTTCTGCTTCTCATGGTGTGAGAACGGCAAGCCCAAGCTCAAGCTGCTGGCGGACCCAGCACCTGGTTCCTCTGCTCCTGGTTGGCAGAAGGCCGCCGTCCTGGTGTCCTCAGCTCGGATGGCGAGGGTGTGAGTCCCAGTCACGAAGACAATGAAACCCTGAGACCCACCCTGTGACTCATTATCCCCCCCACCACCTCTCAATACCATTCCACGGGGACTGGGTTTCAACACGTGGATGGGAGGGTGGCATGAACTCCAGCTCGTGGCAGGTGTGGCTGGTTGCCTTTGCTGGGCCTTGGGTCACATCTGCTGATGTGCAAGTGACCATGGAATGTGTCCATCCCCGTGGGGACTCACATGGGGGGCCTCTAGGGTGAGTCCCCCTAGCTGTCCCTAAGGTGCCCCCCGTTGGATGGGCGGGTGGCGCTCTGTACCAGCTTGCTTTTGGCAAACTCTGCCGCCCCAAAATGCAATGGAAGGTTTTTCCTGGCAAAAGTTCCACGGAGCAGGCTTGAAAATTCAGAACACACACAAAAACATGTAAACAAACATCCTCAGTGGCTCTCACTACCTAAAGATAACTCGATAACTTGAGTTCGTGTCTCCTACCTTGTACCTTGTACCTTTTGTCTTTTGTTAGCTATAGAGAAAAATCTGTGCACACAATATGATTCTGCTCTGCATACTCTTTTGTAACCTGCTCTTTCCACTTAATATGTTGAGTCCTGGCAACACTGTCACGTAGTTCACTGAATTGATCTCCTCCTCCTGGACAGCTAAGCCTTCTGAAACAACTTGGTGTTTTTAACTTTTTCAGTACTTAGTATTTACACACGAATATAGGTAAAGGAGATGCAGGTTCTCCAGCTCTCCATCACCACTAGAACTATCCTGTTACCCTCCTTGACACTGGCTGTGTCGCCTGGACCAGCCCTGTGCCTCCACAGCAAACACCCCTCCCTCCTGGGTCTGGGTTGTGTCTCCATTCGAACCCCGCTCTCCTGAGCTGCCAGCTGATCTTCCCAAAGTAGGAAGCTCCATGGGCTGTGGTGAGGAGGGCCCTGCCCAGCTCAGTCCGGGAAGGAGGCTACTTACTCCCCCAACATGGACCTCTGAGAATTAGGAGGATGTCAACAGAGAAAGAGCAGCAGACAGACAGGAGGTAGGGAGGAGCTCTGCTCATCGGAGCAAAAGCTGTACCACCCAGCAGCTCCCCTCCAAAAGAAACACACTCATTCAGTATGTTGAACTGCACACCTGTGTTCACTGCAGCACTCCCCACCACAGCCAAACCCTGGACGCCACTGGGTGTCCATCAAGAAAATGCGATGCCTACACACAGTGGAATACTATTCAGCCATAAAAAGGATCAATCCCTGTCATGTTTGACAATGTAGCTGGAACCGGAAGACACTGTATTAAGGGAAGTGAGCCAGACACAGACTGACACATGTCACACGCTCTCATTCATACGTGGAACCCGGAGAGGTGGGTCTCATCGAAGTTGGCGACAGGAGGAGGATGGTTAACAGAGAGGAGAGGGGAGGAGCAGCCGGAAGGTACTGGATTAGAGTCACAATTTGGTAGGGAGGCTGGCCCCTCAGGTTCAGGGGAATAGTGGGGTGAATGGAATGACAATAATGTAGCAGGTTTCTTTTTGCACTAGAAGAAGGGATTTTGAATGTTCTCATTACAAAGAAATGGGAGGAACATAGTGTACCCATAAACAGGTACAGTTCTGTCAATCAAAAATGAAGCCTTGGAGCTGGGGTCAGGAGACCCGGTACTGAGCCCCCCGCCCCCCAGCCTGGGGGTGCTGCCTGAGCTCTGCCTCCTTGCAGATTTGTGGCCTCCAGGTTCCCGTGGACTCTGCAGCCCAGCTGGGGACAACACGTAGGCTCCCTATGAGGATTTGATCCCAAAACCACTGCCCGCCCCCTCCCATCTGTGGGAAAACCGGCCCCTTGGTGCCGAAGAGGTTGGGGACCGTTTCAGCGTACCAAGTCCAGGAAGTGGGTCACTGACCTAGCCCTGCACTTCTGTAGCTGCAGCTGGAGCTGCTGCTCTGTGCCCTACACAGGACAGTGCAGGAAGGACATGCACATGGGGACAGGACGGGACATAACTCTGGGACATTCTGCAGGCTGGGGGCAATCACAAGGGCACTTATGAGAGGGAAAAGGCAGTCTGAGGAAAGATGATGTCACTCTACTGGCTTCAAAGACAGAGGAGGATAACACAAGCCAAAACACGTAGGTGGCCTCTAAGATACTTCAGGAACCAGCCTTTGTTAGCACTGGAAAACTCATTTTGACCTTGTGATCTCCAGAGCTTTGAGAAATAAATGTGTGTTGCTTTCACTCACTGTTGGTCTATGTTTACCACAAGCAAAGGGAAACAAATCCAGGCTCCAGACTTCCAACACTGTCTTCTGCCTAAATTTGCCTGTCCTATGCCCTCATGCTCTGCATCCCTGTCACTGGTCCGTGACAGTGCAGAGAAGGTGGGCAGAGGCTGTGCCCCTGTGGAGAAGCTGGGCGTCTGGGCTTTCTACTTAGAAGATCTCAGGTGTGGTGCGAGTGGGAAGAACTGGGTCATAGCATGCATGCAGTTTGATTGACAGGTCACCCGCTCATGTCCCCAGAATAAATGGCACTGCCTAATCTGTTATTCAGTGCCCTCTGCAGTTGAGCCCAACCCATCAAACCCTGGTCCACATCCCAACAAGGCTGAGAAAGCTAGGAGACAGGGCTGTGTTCATTGAGTCCCCTGGAAAGCATCACAGCCCTCCTCTGTCTGTTAGCCAGGCTCCTCCCCGTACACACATCCTTTCATGGTGCTGCCATTCTGTGTTTCAGCATCTGCTTGAATGCTTCTGGCACCATGGAGCTCAGTGACAGGGCTGTGATCTGAATATGGTTTACAGGATGGGTGTGTAGCTCAGGGGTACAAGCTTACCTAGCATGCAAGAAGCCCTAGTTCACTCTCTAGGCCTGAAAAATAATCCTGTAAAAAGATCTCATCAGGTTTGAATGTTGTTTGCCCTTCTAGAAACTCATGTTGAAGGGCAATGCCTCTTATAAGGTACTAGGAGGAGTGGCCTTGTGGTGGGGCTGGGATGGAGTCCCAAGAAGGAGCCTCCATGATTGAACACTGGTGCCTTTATATGAAGAGATACACATGCACGCACACACACGCATGCACACACACAGGCAGGCAGGCAGGCAGGCACGCACGCTCCCGCCTCTCATCACGTGGTACCCTCTGCTGCCTCAAGGCTCAGGAAGCACGATGGCCATCCACAGATGAGGCTTCTCAACCCTGGACTCTCAGGACTGAGCTGAAACAAGCCTCCTTCATTTCTCACCCAGGCAGTGTGTGGTATTGCGCTATCGGCTGCAGAATATGGTCCTGAACAGATGCCGAAATCCCTCCTGAGGCAGGCAGGCAGTGTGTGAGGCTCAGCCAGGCTCTGCCCTCTGGGATGACAGGAGCCTGCCTCTCCCTCCACCAGATGCCACCCTCACCAGCTAGTGCACAGCCAGCCATGGCCCAGCAACAACTCAACCCCTGCGCTGATAAAGCGCAGGCCCAGGCCCACCCTGAAGCAGACTACTCAGGCGGGTCCAGGGTCCTGCCAGCCACATCCCTCCTCACCAAAGCCCGCCTTTCTTCACTTTGTGCACAGAACAATGGGGAGAAAATGTGCTATGATGCATGCAAAGCATAGTAACAAAATTCATCTACAAACACTAGGAAAACCTATTGTTTGCTGAAGTGTTTTCTTCCTCCTACCGTATTGGACTCCTCGAGGCCTCGAGTCCCCCGGCTCCTAACAAGGGGGGCCCATGAGTGCAAGGCCCTCTATCTCCCCGAGAGTATCCAGGGCAGGAACTCAGCCTCTTCCAAAGCTCAGCAATGACGTCATAGCTGGCAGGTTGCTGCTTGCTTCCTGTTACTGTTTCCCAATTGCTCTCCACACCATGCGAGCAGATCCAGCCCATGAGAAGTTCCCCAGCAGTAAGGCAGCACAGCAACCCCACTTCGGAGTGCCTGGGGTCGACTGCAGACACTTAGGTTGGCAGAAATGGACACGCTCCAGCCTCCGAGCAGAGGCTTTGGAGGAGCTGGTGCTTACGGATGTTGCGAGAGTGCGGACCTGAAGTGTACTCCAAAGTTCCTCTGGTGCAGGCTGGCTGCCTGGTGCTGAGAGAGGAGAGCCTGTAAGAGATGAGGAAAGAGGCTTGTCTTGCGGGGGGGGGGGGATCCTCTTAAACAGGACAGAGGAACCCAATCCTCCTCTTTTCACGATGCCTGCGAGATGACAGCTCTGCTCTGCCCTGCTGCTCACACTCTCCATGATGTGCCACCTCGATACAGACTGGAAAGCAACAGGGCCACCTCACCCAGGACTGGAACCTGAGTCCATGGCAGCAAACAATCCCTTTGCTTTCACAGGCTCACCACCTCAGATACTTCACAGTGGGAGAGGGGACCCACGAAGGGGAATTAGGCAACGTGAGGTCCACTTCAGGGGAACCCGTGCTCCTTGCTCTTTGTCCCTCCATCCTGGGAACGTGGAGAGCTGAAATGGGCCCTGGTGGGAAGGACAGCCCAGGAGACACTGCCCGCAGCCCTCATGCCCACAGCTTCGACGCCAGCCTTCCTGGGCTCGGCCTGCCTCTGCCTCCCCGTCAGTTCCACGCTCAGCTTCTCCCCCATTTCAGCTCCGGCCCTCCCAGGCCCCTCTGCAGGTCACGCCCTCCACAGACCAGCTCCAGCCAGTAAAATAATGAATCATAAACTTTATTTCAAAATGTAAACGTCACTAAACATGCATACATGTTAAAACAATAAAATTTACAATTTCATTAATTTTTTTTCTTTTTGCATAGGACATCATTACAATATAGAATCTATGCCTTACAAAATACATACAAAGTTTTCTTTCAGCAAGCCAAGGCCAGATTGGGAGCTGTACAACTGTAATACTTCACTGTAGTGATCCAGGAAAAATGAAAGGTGGCCTTTGGAAGCATGGTGGGGAGCTGGTTAAAAAGAAACAAGTCTTACAGAGAAAGAAAATGTGAACTTGATGGAAAGGGTCTTGGACCCTTGGATTCTGCCTTGGGATTTTGGCAAAGGATTCCAGATAAGCCCCACCGACGGCTCTGGATGTTCCAGAAGGGGTTGCCTGGGTGTAACCAATCCAACTACGACTGCAAAGCCCCAGAGCTGCAGCAAGCCCTGATCGGGATGAGGTCCCCAGCACTGTGTACCCGCAGGCTGGGTAAGTCTCAGACCCAGAAGCAGGCAGGAACAGGCCCCACGGTCAAGATACCCTGTGGGTCTGAGCCACAGTGGGAAGCAGCCTCCTTCTCCTTTGCGGATGTCTGGCAACCGCAGGGAGGAATCCTCCAAGTCCAGGCTGTGGGCTCTCCGGGATGGACTTCTCAGAGACACTCAGCTCATGCACTAGGCTTCCAAAGGCGTGTGCACAGCAGCCTATCAACAGGTCCCTGAGGAAGACATCAGGGAGGCCAGGGCTCCAGAGCCCCAGGAGCTGTGTCCGGGAGCACACCTCACGAAAGAGGAGGCTCTCTCCCATCCTCTTTGTTTCTAAATAAAAGAAGTGAATTTTAAAGCTGTACGAGAACAGAAAAGGTTGGGGAGGACCAGGGGGCTGCGCTGCAAGTCCGGCAGCTCCGTAGGGGTCAGCAGAAACCAAGGGTGGCCTCCCTCCCCTGTGGTGACCGGGAACACCAAGTCTACTCTTCCGAGTGGCGAGGGCCGGGCTGGCCACTCCCTCAGCGGTGCTCAGGCGTTACTCAGTAGTAAGCTGGATTGTGCATCCCAATTCTGGTCCAAAGTTCTCTGGAATGTGGCCAGGACAAACCCTGGAAAGCTTCCGAATCAGGAAAGTCAGTCAGAGGACCTGGACCTTCTGGGCCATCCAGATTCAAAAACCCATCAGCCCACATCTGGATTTTTAGCTTGGGAAGAATAAGGGTCACCAAGAATCACACGTGGAAAAATTGGGCAGCAAAAGATGTAGGTGACCTGCAAAGCATTTCTTACTGATCACGATGTGACCAACACTTCATTCCTTAAAACCTTCCAGCACTGTGCCTTGGACTACATGACCTTTTAAAAACGGGTTAAAAAACTTCAGTGACACCTGTCGGAAGTTAAAATAATCAGCTTGCCTTGTAAACAAAGCCACAGCCAGGCGCTGAGGAGCGAGGCCACACTGTCGCCCAGCTCTTGTCTGCCCCGTGAGGGCACCCTGCCCAGTGGAGGCCCCAGGGGAAGCCCCAGAGGTGTGATGACCCTGCACACGCCATCCTAGCACCTGCTTCTGGCAAGAAAGAGGCTGGGTCTTCGGGACACTCTGGGCTGGGACCAGGAAGTCTTCATGGAGACAGTGGCTCTGCCACACCTCCCTTGGGGGTCAGCTGCCAGCCCTCTCTGCCCATCTCCACTCTGACCCATCCTCACTGGCATGAGCCATCGCCCAAGTCACAGTGAGGTCTGGGGTCACCGGTGTGTAGATGCTCACACCTGGAGGCTGCACCTTGGCAGCCTGCCCCAGTGCAGTGCCTCACAATGACTTGGAGGCTGGGATGGGGATCTTGTGCCTCAAGTGTCATGGATGGGAGGTACAGTGGGGTGCCATTAGGGCACCTCCAGCATCACACTCCCACCGAGGGCATCCCTGCCCATCACTACATAGCACCCATCAGAGAGGACCTCAGTGCCCTCTCCGTTTCTGTATGGCTGCAGGACTCAGGAGGCATTTGGGGAGCTGACCACTGTTCCCCCATATGGCTGACAGTGAGAGGGGTCTTGCTGTCTGGGACAGAGCTCCCTGATGGCTGGTCCAGAACCACTCTTAACCCTTTTGCAGTGGCTCTCTCTCTCCATCTAGGCACCCTTCATTGTGAGATTTCTGCTTCCCTGCCCCGCTAAAATTAAAGTCTACCCCCAAATGCAGGTTTGACTTGTCACTGATTTCCAGGAGCCCCAGGGGTTCCTTAATCCCACTTCCACCTGAAACTGAAACCCGCAAGCCTGACTACAAATCACAAACACGGAAGCCCCAGCAGCAGACCCAGGCTGGGAAGACACCCCACCTCAGAAGGCAGCCCTCCCTTCATGATGAGATGGAAACCTGCTCTGAGAACCCTTCCGCACGAGCCTGAGATTCGCTGGTTCCCCCACCCCCACCCCATGATGAGATGAATTAAAACCCAGATGATTCCCAGGGGTCCAGCCAGGTGCCTGGGGGACTCCCTCCAGGTACCATGTCCCCGTGTCCCAGGCCAGACCGAGACTGGAGGACTACACCCTGCCATTGAGGAGAGCCGCTCTGGGCGTGAAGACACAGTCTGCCAACACAGCCTGAGCCTGCATATTCTGTGTTAAGGCAACGTTACCCTTCCATCTGTCCGACGGAACCGCCCTGGGTCGCTGAGAGCAAAGTTAAATTAAGTGCTTTCTTTGGAAACAGCCTACGCCCACTCGCCCTCCCCCACCCCCCATCCCACTCTAAGACAAACCAGCTCTTTCTTTTATTCCAAGGTGACGGGTTTAGAGTCCTTTCCCCCTTCCCATGCGGAGACAATGCAGAGTTTGAAGCCTCCTTCTGGGATGCTGCGGGCAGATCACAGGAGACTGGGCCCGTGCGGAACGCTCTGTGGCCTCTGGAGGACACGGCTCCCTCTCCTGCCCTCAGAAGCATAGATGTGGGTGCACCAAAGGACTTTGGAATAAAATTCCTGAACCTGGAATGTAAATTCCTGAGACGTGAAATGTGTCAGAGCGTGGCTTTCTCTGCTTCACACAGAAACGACATTGGGAGGGACCTCACTTTGGAACTGGGCGTGAAGGTGAAGACCGTCACACCCCAAGCACCCAGGGCTCTCTTCATTCAAGGTCCCTACCATATACTCCATTCGCTCTCCCAGACTAAATGCATGTGAGCTGGGCGGCCGCAGGGCCCCACAGCACCAGGACGGCCAGCCCTGTGCCCAACCACACAATCCCACCCCCAAACCCCACCCACAGCATAATCAAGCCACAGCCTAACTGGGTACCCACCACTCCACAACGCAGAAGCCACGCACGCCACCAGCCACTCCCACCCGACACGCAGTGGAGCCACAGTGGGCACCTGGAGCGCCACAGATGGACGGTGCCAACCGCAAAGCCGCTGCACACAGATGCCCAGGCTGGGTGGGGTCCCAGGCTTTCTGTGCAGCACCACACACAGTGTGAGCGATGGGGCCGAAGTGGAAGGCTACAGCCAAGGCACTCCGGACCCGGGAGCCGGTGCACGGCCCTCCGAGTCCCAAGGGTCGTTCCTCCTCATCGAGATGAGGTCTCTGCAAGACACCCAGTCCTTCCTTATAACACTTGCGTGTACACACACACACACACACAAACACACACACACACTCTGCGGCCTTGTGTGTGCAGGCCTTAACTCTTCAGAGCAATGGAAGGCAGCGCCTGAGCCATGGGGAGCTGGGATGGACCCTCCAGGGGTCCCGGGAGCTCTGTGGAGCATGGCCTCACTGCCCTGGCCCAGGGTCCTTAGCCAGCCCCGGCTGGGACTGCAGGCCACAGGCCTCAGCTCTCCGCTTCTCTACTATGGAGAGGTGCTGGGGGGCGGGCAGAAGTCTGAGACAGGGAGAAGCGATGCAGGCGTCTGCACTGGGGACATGGAGGGTCTGAGAGAGGCATTCTCCTCGGCTTTCCGGCTGGAGTCCTCGGAGAGAAAACGGATGGCACACTCTCCACAGAGACCTGTGACACGCTGCATCGCTGCTGAAAAAGGACAGTCCAGCTTCCGCTCTGCTGCCCTCGGGCAGCCTCCGAGCAGCGCTGACTGACTGACTGACGTGGGGCATCACCGGCTGTACAGAGGGACCTCCCCAGCCACCGTGGATGGAGAGGTCAGCGAAGACACACCAACACCCAACACCGGCATTCCCAGCTCTCACTTTCCCGGGAAAGCACGGAACAAAGGTGAGGGGAGCCCGTCTCCTGGAGGCCTTCGGGTGCGATGGTCTCTGCTTCCAGTTGCCTGTGGCCTGGGGAGAGGCCTTGGAGGGTGGGGAGACGGCAAGACCAGCAGGCAAGGCAGGGGCCTCTCTCCGCAGCCCTCCAGGTGGAGTCCGGGTTAAGGCATCCCTCCGAGGTGGTCTGTCCCTCGGGCCCCTGCGCGTCCTGAGCCGGGCCCCGGGCTAGGTTAGAGGCCTGGAGGTGGGCAGGAAGGGGATCGGGCCTTGCCACTTGCATCAGTGACCACGTCTGAGGCCAACGACCGACCCAGGACAGGACACGAGTCACCTGCTCTGTCCCTGTGTTCCCAAACGCGGTGGAAAACTCCAGAGTGCAAATCTATGTACAGAGTAAGGCGCAGGAAGGGACGCCCCGCTGACCTCGTGGAACTTGTCCATCCCTGAGTACGGGGTCAACACCACTCAATTTCAACTTCGTGGCTGTCACGATTTGTGCAATTTGTGGATGGTGGGGTGTTGGGTTGTTTTTTTTTTTTTTTTTGGAAAAAAGAATTTTTTTTTTTACAAACTGACATTGACACCTGAGGTGAAGAAAAGTGTTTTTCATGGACTTTTCATCAAGTTCGCACTCTGCTTTCTTAGTACAAAAGGAAGGGGCAGGGCCTGACGCGAGGAGGAAGAGGAGGAGGAGGAGAGCGGCTGCTCATGGCTGTGGTCGGCGGGGTCCCGGGTCCCGGGTCCCGGGCGCTGCGGCCGCACTCAGGGCGAGCTGGCCGGGCTGACGGCCGGGCTGCTGGCGTCGGAGCGGCTGTAGTCGCTGAGCGAGCCGGTCCGCGAGCCCCCGCTGCGCCGCTGCAGCATGCCCGGGTGGAAGTTGGCGTGGCGCCGCGCGTGCTTCGTCAGGTGGTCGCTGCGCATGAAGCGCTTCTCGCAGATCGGGCAGCTGAACTTCTTCTCGCCCGTGTGCGTGCGGTAGTGCCGCGCCAGCTCGTCGGAGCGCGCGAACTTCTTGTTACACTCCTGCCAGCTGCAGGCGAAGGGCCGCTCACCTGTGGGGACACGGGACAGGGCACAGCATCAGTCCCGGCACGACCCCATGCCCGGGCCTCCGGCATCCCGCCCCCTCGTCCCGGGCCCCTCCCTGCCTCCCTCAGGCCGCCCAGCGGTCCCCACCTCTCCCCACGCGCCTCTCGGCCACCCCACTTATCACCCAGCGCCCCATACTTTATCTCTGCCCTCTCTTGTAGCAAATCCAGCAAGGCAGAGGTGAGGCGTCACACCCTCTTACTGCACACCCTGCAGGGGACACAGAGGACAGCTCCAGGATGCACAGGAAGTGGCAGGAGCCAGGCCGCAGTACCCCAACCCGAGCCTCTAGCCACAATCCCGACCTCCTAAGTCTCTTGTCTGCATCATGGGGGTTGGGGGATGTCACAGGACACATTCTCCAGGGCCTGAGGCTGGACAACCCGGCACCCTGCTGCTCCTTTTCCACTGGGGCCCCAACACGGCAGCCACCAAGGGCTGCTGAGGAGGCCACACCAGGTTCCAGCTGAGCCCAGCACGGTGGCCTGGAAACCCTCCGAGGGGCCCAGAGAGAAGGGAGCACACAGGAGGGTGGGAGGTGAGAGAGGGGAGCCACAGTCAGGACCCCAAGTCTTCCTTCTCCCTTTGCTCGGACCGCAGGAGAGGCCAGCACTCACCCTGGCAAATTCTGAACCATAAAACATGACATGAGTTGCTCGAGGAGAACAGAGCAGGGGGGCCTGTGTCCCCCCAGAATGCAGCCTTCCAAGCAGTGGCTGTGTAGCCACCCTTCTTAGCTGGTCTTCCTCTGTCTCCTTCGAGGGCCCCTAAAGCAGACTTCTAGCCCTACTGGGTGGCCCACCTATGCCATCTACCTCAGAAACACGATCTCAAACAGCCACAGACATCCCAGGATGGCCCGATGGCCAAGGAAAATCAGCAACACCCAAGGAAAAACAGAGCAACCAAACCAACACCAGAGAAGCGTGAAGCCAGGAAGAGCGTTAGGAAGAACCTAAAAACTCTAATTAGTGTCCTCAGAGAAGCTGAGACACAATCTGATGCATAAAGCAAAGAGGAGGAAGCTTAGAGAAACAAAAAACAGCATGTAGAATAGGAAAACATCACTGCGCAAACAAAAAGTACACTGAAAAAGTTGCAAATATAAACAAGAAAATATTCCAGAAACTAGAAGCCTCTGGAAAGTTCTAGAACTCTGTGGACATTGCAGTCTTCTGTCTCCTCTTCTTGCTGAGGCAGGGTGCCTTACGGGGCTGTATTTGGGGTTCTCGTTAATCCCAACATCGAGGGAAGGGTATTGGTGGCCATCACTGTCACCTAAATCTATCTGACAGTCCACAGACAGAAAAGGCTGAAAGTTGAAATCCGTTGGGGATTAATCTAGGGAATATCTAACAGCAGGTGTGGAGTAGGAAAGCAAAATAAAGCACAGTGTAAGAAATTACCAAAGTAGTAACAGCATCTATCAGAGTAAAAATTAAGAAGGAAAAGAAAACTAAAATAAAAAACACACTAATATGGCCGGGGCAAGGAAAGAGGGGCCTGATGCAGGAATTTTTGCCAAAATAAAACACCAAATAAAACCAGCGACCCTAAAACTTCACTGAGGAGGAGGAGAGACATCAATGCTGGATTTTCCGTGAAGGATGAATCCGATTTCTCCTCGCTCCCACTGGGTGCTCACAGGCAGGGCCACAGGACATCTCCTTTACATGTCACCTATTTCAGTTAAAAAAAAAAAATCCTGAGAACTGTGAAGCCAGAAAAATGGGTGAAAAGTGAAGGGAAGCCGGGTGTAGGGAGCCAGCACTTGAGAGCCGAGGCAGGAGGATCGCCCAGAGTTAGAGGCCAGCCTGGGCTACACAGTGAGACTCTGTCTTGGAAGGTGAGGGAGGGAGGGAGGGAGATGGGTAAACGGATGGGAGGAAAGAGACAAAGGGAAACCCTAAGTCAAGGGCAAGGATGAAGCCTGGAAGTCCGCTGGATCACTGATCGGACCTCACGTCACAGGGACAAAATTCCAGGAGGACAGTGACTATGCATCACAGGGTACCATCAGCACGGTGGACAAGCTTCGGGACGAGAGAGCACTCTGCTATTCCTTGTTTAGAAGAAAAAAAAGAGGCAGTAAGAAACTCCAAGATAAAATAAAGACCCACAAGAAAGCTGAGGTCCAATTAGAGGCAAACGATAGGGCGATGATGATGTGCGTCCATGAGGAGGGCCAGGCCAAGCACTGTGGGACAAGGGCTCGAGGCTTCGTCCTTGCCAGGGTCCTTCTGCTCCCACCCCAGGCAGCAGGGTGTGACACAGTTCTACACGGGCAGCTAACAGGGAGGGTGCGGAGAGCTGCGGCACCTGCTTGGGCGGGCTGCCGGTGTGGCACAGCCTGAGAGGAGGGAAGCCGAGTCCCGGGTGCAGGATCAGGACCCTGACAGAGGCACGCCTCCCGTTCCAGTCTCCTTTCCTGGCCTGGCCTATCTCAGGAGAGCTAATAGCCAATAAACTGGTCTACAAACAGCAGTTATGATTCACACTAGCAAGGAACTCAGTCTGGCTGGGTGGCCCCTGGGTGGCAACATTTTAGTGGCACCCAAGAGATAATGGGTACGGGAAGGGACACCAGAAAACAGCACACTTTCACTTGCACTTTCAGTGAGGTCCCCAAGGAGCACCAGCTCATGTGGGTTACATCCATTAAAGTTTACTATGAAGTCTTAAACCGAGCACACACTCCAGAGCTGTCCAGAGGGATGATGTCATTACACACGGTGCACTGTCTGGAATATTCCATTGTGCCCTTTGGAAGAAAGACGGGTAAACAATGTCACCGTTATGCAAACAGCTTTGATCTCAGGGTCCCCTGAAAGGGTGTCATTCTGGTCCTCACTTGCAATCCAGGCTGTTCTGGGGACTGACCTCAGGGTGGTGTGGCTGAGCTAAGGAAGCACAGGCAAGGACAGGAGGAGGGTGGGGTGCACAGGCTGAGCCTGAACCCCCCCCCCCCAGTGCACAGGAAGCCGCGGGACTAAGAAGCCGGAGTCCCCTTGATAGATTTAACTCCTGCATCTGCCCCCTCCTGCACATGTGATAAGGAGGCTGCCCCTTCCCAAAGACAGAGCTAGGTCTGGCTCAGAAGAGGAATGGGGGCGCTCTTACAGCACACTGGGGCTGCTTCTGACCCCAGGAGGACCAGCGAGCACAGCTGCGGGGTTGCTTGGGCTGGGAAATCCGGAGCACAGGACAGGATGAAGATCAGGCCTTGTGAAGAGCAGACTGGGTGAAAGGAAGGGGGGAGGCGGGGCTTGGCTTGTGAGGCTTTGGGTCTGCAGGGAGGAGGGGGAGGGATGCTGGGGGACCCTGCGGGGGGCTGGAGGTGGGGCCAGACCCTAACAGGACCCTGTGGGGGCTGGGGGGTCCTGATGGTGGGAGGGCAGAGACTGCAGGCCTGGTGAAGGCGGAAGAGGGCACCCGGGGCAGAGTGCACTCCCAGCCCACGGAGTGAAGCCCGGAGAGTGCGCGCAGGGCGTGTGGGGGTGCACAGGTGGAGGGGGTTGTGGCGGCGCCGGTGCCCGGGCAAGCAGGGCGCGCGGGCGGGCGGGGCAGGGCTGAGTGTGGGGCCGGAAGGTTACATAAATGTTCCCTGGCGCCGCCGCGAGGCCGCTGCGAACCCAGCAGGGCCCAGAACGATTGCCTCATCTTATCGGGAACACAGCGTCCCTGCTGCTCTTGCCCAAGCCACAGCCGGGAACGGCGCATTCTGCGGGCCAGCAGGAGAGGGACCGGCCAGGGTCTGTCCTCCGCCGCGGTCTGCACCCCAGCGAAGGGTGCATGCGTTTCCTGGCCGTCCTGCTCTTAGGTACAAAAGGCCTGTCTCACTATCACCTTCTTCAAGCGCAGCTTCCCAAACCGTCGGCCACCTGCCCCAAGGCGGGAGCCCCTAGAGGCTGCACCTGTACAGACCACGGTGCGTCTCTTTCTGCCGCCTCCTGCGTGCAACCTGGGGAGCTGTTGCTTTGCACTGTTACCCCAACGCCCAGCCCAGAGCAGCCATCTGGGACCAGGACAGCTGGCTGCCACCGCCTCCTACTTGGTCCCAGCAACGTGGCAGGTACCCGACTGACTCCCCTCTCTGGCAGGGGAAAGGGAGAGGACCCATCTCTGACCACAGTGTCCTGGGAAGGAAGATGGATCCATCAAGGCCACGGGGTGTCCCTGCTCACAGAACAGATCTCTCCAGAGGCACAAAGGATAAACGTGAGTGTGTCTCTAGGGGGATGGTGAGAGGCACTGCCCAAGGCCTGTACAAAGAAACCACTTCTCCAGAGTGCCCAGTCCCTGGTAGCTGCAACTCAGAGTAGGTTCTGTCAACAGACAGCTTTGCTCTGTGGGCACTGCCCTGGGGACATTTTCAGCTCCCAAACTCAAGACTGCTGTGTTCTGCAGTCTTGGGGAAGGCCTGTTTCCCTCCTGCTCTGGGGCGGCCCAGCAGATGGTCAAAACACCAAGGCTGATCCACTGCTGGCCTCTGCAGAGATCCAGGCACACATGTCCTCCCAGGTCGGGGGAACACCAGTGACGCCCCACAGACCTGACACACAGATGACCTGGGGAGGTAAGGCCAGCAGCAGATAGGCGCAGCCACTCAGCTGGGTGGTGGCAGAGCTGGAGCCACAGCTGGGGCCTCTCAAGCCCTAGGGTTCGCCGCCCCAGCCAGGGAGATGCCTGCTCCAAGGGGCAACCTTCCCCCCTCCCCTCTGTGGGGCTGCCCCTTCTCAGTTACTGTGAGCTGGTGAGTGAGGGCTCACTCCCACAGATACCTGCTTCACACACTATTAGTCCCCTGTGAGGGCTCTGGGGGTGTGGTCAGTGGGAGGAATGCCTGCTTGCAGAAGCTGCCTGTCCCCTGCCCCTGCTTTGGAGCACTCCAGCCTGGCACTGTTGCTGTGGGTTTCCCACTGCCGCTGCTCACACGGGTGCTCATGCAGCAGCATCAGGACACTGGAGGGACCTGGGCCTGGCCGGGCACCTGCAGGCACAGCCTCAGCACCCACTTTGGCCCAGTGCGTGTCTTCACATTTCTGCAACAGATGCAGAGATATTTTTTAAAGTATGCGTTTTTTGTGGTGGTTGTTTTGCTTGTGTTTTGGTATATAGTAACTTGAATATAAAATTTATACAGAAGCATAAACAAAACAGCCAGAAAAGCTCTGCAAATGAGGAAATGGCACTGAGGAATGGGGAACCAGAGGACCAGATCCTCAGCCTACTGTGGTGTCACCTAGGGACCAGCCAGTGGAGTGGGGGAGGAACAACAAAAGAAGACCCACAGACTGCCCACTGCACACCAGATGACGTGACACCTCCGCCCTGCAGGGGGTAGGAGGGGGTGATTGGATAGTACTCACAGAGAAGGCTGGAGCTATGCTTTGACCCCTACACCAAGAGAAATTCAAAATGGGATCCAACCATCACACGGTACCCATAAATATGCACAATTTTATGCATCTGCTAAGACTTTTATTAAAAATTAAAAATTATACATCCATCCAAGATTTAAATGTGAGAAATGAAACTACAGATGTCTAGGCGTAAAGTGTTCTATAATACTCGAAGTTCTTTCCACATGAACCAAAGTGCAGAAGCTATAAAAGACATAAATGTGACTGTGGAGAAGTATAAAACAATTTGTGGACAAAGCCATTATAGAAACAGGCAAAAGATAAATGGCAAACAATAAAAGTACATCATAACTCATGTCACCAAGGGCTGAGCTCCAACATGGAAGAAACTCACAGAAATGAGAAGACAACATAAAACAGAACAAGAGACAAAGGCCGTTCACAAAAGGCCAAGGCAAATGGCTCCCAACGCTAGAAAACATGTGCCACCTCCCCAACCAGGAGTTAAAGGAAATCACTGAAATGCAGCTTTCTGTCCAGCAGACTCTTGAGGCTTCGGGAAACAGGCTCTTGATACTTTGCTAATGGGAGTACAAATTGTTAAAAAGTTCCTTGCAGGGTGACTGTCAATACCTGGTAAAATCACAAACGACCATCTCCTTTGTGCAGGACTGGACTGTGGGTACCTTGTTCCACAAATACGCCAGGCACCTACAGATACACGCCTCATTCTTCAACACAGCAGAAGCTTGGAAAAACAGCTCCCAGTACTGTGCAACACCCATGCAAGGGAGCACTATGAAAAACAAGTAGGGGTGCCTCCAAACTGCTGTGGAGGATGCCCAAGCTGTACTGCCAAGTGAACAACCCAGGTCTCATTGGGTGTGGTGGCACATGCCTGTAATCCCAGCACTCGAGAGGCTGAGGCACAAGGATCACCATGAGTTCGAGCCAGCCTGGGCTATACAAGTGAGTCCAAAGGCAGCCTGCACTACACAGTAAGACCCCGTCTCAAAAAACAAAAAACAAAAACAAGAAAAACTCAAAGTAGGCCCAGCACAGAATGCACGGAGGGTGATCAGATGGGCAGGAAGATGTGTGCCCCTCCCCACCATGTGTGCAGACTCTCGGGGGACACTGGGAAGGACAGCAGGTAGGAGACAAGGAAAGCTGCAAGAATCTTCCCTGGGAACTGACCTTTCAGATTTTGAGGCCCACAAAAGTGCTACCGCATATTCGAACATTAGATTAAAAACAAAAACCAGCAAACTAGAAAATGTTCATTGTAATTGGTGCCAATCTAAGACTCAGACATTAGGATAGAGTGCCACGCAGCAGCAGGGCTTATGTGAGGCACTGAGTAGACAGATGGACAGACAGACAGGAAGGATTAAAAAGCAGACACTGAACACTCCCTGGGACCAGCCCCCCCCCCCCCCATCAGGCTTACACACTGCCCTTAAAACAGCGGTCCCCCGAGTGGGTTTTCTTCAGCCCACGGTGGCAGTAGTGGTGGTGGTGGGGGGGGGGGGTACTTAAAAGTATGAGGAACTCAGAAACAGCAACCAGCAACAAACTAATCCTCCCTTCTAGTAGACATACCTGGGGCAGGGTTCCAAGGCTCTGGGGCTCCTCGCTCCTGTCACCCAACAAGCTGTTCTACTGAAGGGGATCCCCGATAAAGGTTCAGCAGGTGACTTAGAACAGGTCAGACTTAAGGAAAGACAGCAAATAAGTACCCAGAAACAATTTACAGGGCAGCAGACCTGGACTGCAGATAAGGCCCCTCCTTATTCCAAACGCCTTGCTCCTGCCATTAAAAAGCCCTTCACGTACTGTACTGCAAACCAACCTGGGTGGGTGGGGCAGATGCTGGCAGCCCAGAACCCAGCCAGCCACCAGCCAAAGATCCCAAGGGCAAGGCAGGAGAGTCATCTGTCTACAGGTGCGGGCAGGAGTGGTCACCAGGGGAGCTGCAGACTTCTGGGAGAGGGTTTTCTCTTGGATAAAAACAGATAAGGAAGGAAAGAGGGAGGGCAGGAAGTGTGCAGGGTGGGGGAAGCAGGCCCAGGGTGGAAAAGCCTCTCTTTCCTATCTCTGGCAGGCCGTGCAGGGCTGTGATGCCTAGGGTGGCACCAGCCATCAGCAGGGCCGGGGGGGGGGGTCTGCTGGGAATGGACAAGTCCGACTGCCCCTTGCCATGAGTGAGCCCTCTGCTAACCTGACACTGCTCACACATTCCCTGCTTAAGAAGTAACACTCTCTAGGGTCATCTGGGCTCCCTGGCAGAAGGGGCAGCAAGGTGAGGTGGGCAAGGCATTCCCTTCCTCACCATTTGCCAGTGTGCACTGCCAGCCCCCAGCCCCCAACCTCCAAGTGTACACCTTGAGTTCTCTGGGTAATTCAGAGGCCCCTCTCTGCCTCTCTGACAACCACGGTACCCCACTTCCTCTTCCTGTGTCTCCCTCTCCCCTGACCCTCATTTCCTCCCTCTGCCCTCTCCCTGGGTGCCTCCCAGGTGGGTGCTGCCTGCAAGGGCCTGGATCCAGCTTGGTACACAGCTGGTGTAATGGCAAAAGTGGCCAAAGTACCCACAGCCACATGCTTGACTCTTCTCTGGGTGTGGGCCAGCGCATCCAATTGCCCGCCTGAGAGGTAGGACGGGAGGCATCAGTAAGGTCCACCTTCAAGCGAAGGCCGCTGAGTGGGTTTCTCCTAAAAAGGCATTTTCACGGGCCCTCCCCACGTGTGAACAGGAATCGCCACAGCACACTGCCCCCACTGGCCTGTCCTAGGAGGTGAGAACAGGAGAAAAGTGAACCGCAGCGAGGCTCAGCACTGACCACACTTGAGGGACCAGCCCCCTGGGTAGTGATGCCACCCTCTACGCCTGGGAGTGGGGGCCTCTGACTTCATAGGGAAGAGCTCCCCCACAGCCAGGCTGCAGCTTCTGGCCAGTTTCTAACTTCATGGTGGATAAGCACAGAGTAGGTGGCCTCCCATCAAGAGGGTAACCCTAGAGGGCCTAGAATATCTCTAGTGCCCGAGGGACAGGACCTCCTCATGTCCAGGAGAAGCTGGGCGGCTGCCCTAGGCCACACTCCAAGCCGTGGCGTAGGGGCCTACTGGCCAGCAGAGGCAGCCTCTGCCTCCGGATCCCAGGCAAACCCACCCCCTGTCCTATTCCAGGTAAATGCAGCAGGCTCTGGGCTCCAAGTTCCTTGGGGGAAAAAAGTGGTAGAAGCTTCCAAATGCGCAGAAAACAAAACCAAAAAACTACTACTCAAAGTTCATTTGATAATGTAAAGAAATCAGAATTACCATTCTGACCATGAGCCTGAACCTTTGGTTTCTAAAGGCCAAAGCCAAAAAAAAAAAAAAAAAGAAAAGAAAAAAAAAATCACATTAATCTGTCTTTTTTAGAAGAGCTGAACAGTGCTAGAAAATTCTGCTCCTGACACCCACCAAGGCCCAGGAAGCTCCCAAGGCCTCTCCTTCAGAAGCCTAGGTCCACTTATCACCGGATACTTGCAGTTACTGGAAACTTATTACCAGAATATTCCAGGAAAACCACTGTGTTCAAAATCCTCACGCACTGAAAGTCTTTTGAGGTGGGGAACCAGCAGCCCTGGCTCTGTCCCTCAGCCCAGCCTGCAGTATTCCAGTGACTTCTGAACCCTGTGTGGAAGGCCACCTCTCCTGGGAGACAAAGCCCAGCCCAGCCCTGTCCCAGGACTGCTCCCCGCCACCCCTAGAGTGTCAACACAATCCCTTCCTCCTTGCCTTCCTGCACGGCCCTCCAGTTTGCTCTGCCTTTTGCTGTCCTTGCCTGGAACAAGACACTAAAGGAGATGACCTGAGCCAGGAAGCCAGGAAGAGAAAAAGGCTGCTGGCCTCCGTGTCCTTCCCTGAGTTCCCAGAAGCCCAAAGTTTGAGTAGCCTGTTTGACAGCTTTGCAGGGTACTCCACCACCATGGCTATCGGGGTCTGCTGATGCCAAGACAGGGCTGGTGAAAGCTGGACAACCACCCAGACAGGAAGCCTGTCTTGTGCCCTGTCTGTCACCTGCAGGTCCCCGAAGCATGGGATGGGGGATCTGGTGCTCTCTGGTGTCACTGGAACCAGACTTCATCCACTGAGGGGCAGGGTGGACAAGGAGAGCCTGCCTGGCTGTCTGTGTCTAATGCCACGGATACTAGTGTTCCCCTAGCCACAGACAGGGCGGCTTACAGCCAGTCTCATTTAGCTGCACAGCAAAGCAAACAGACTACCAAGTGGCTGACCCCGCTGTGCACATGCATGCATGAAACGCGTAAAGCTATAAACTACAAAGCAGGGTTATGTGACTGTCTCTTCTGGCACTCCTGTGTTTTTCAGCTGGACTGATTGGGCAGTAAGAACATGGGTAACAATACAACAGGAATAGTCACATCTGCATGTACCACCAATCTCCGGTTCACAAGCAGGACACTTCCATAGAACCCACGCCCCTGACCTCTGATAAGGAAGTAGCACTGATTTGCACGCACTGGTACACTTGTCTGGAAGTGTTCCACATGCCAGGGATTTTATAAAGGTGCTTTCCCTCCTCCTGTTAAGAGTTATAAAACACATTTGAAAAATTTCCATTTCTAAGGTCCCCTTTAGAACAGCACTAATAAAATACCTATGATCTCTGCCAGCAGATTAGGTGCCACCACAGACAAGGGCTCCGGCGTACACATGTGTGTGTGTGCCCGCTCACATCATGTACCACGGGTGTTACAAATGGACCTACTCACTTTCATTCATCTTTTTACTAACAAAATTAATAAAAAGCTGCCCACTGGGACAGTCATGCGGATGTCACTTGTGTCGAGCTACCTGGCAGCATGACACGAATTACAGCCTCACTGTGAATGTGTTAAATGCACAGTGGAAGAAGACAGACCTAAAACCTGCCCGACTCCATCGAGAAGGCAATCTGCAAAGTGCAAACACATGAGGAGAGAAAACTTGCCAGAGGGGAGCGAGGTTGGGGACTGATGAAAGGGGGCTCAGGGCCGTCCCCCAGTGTGACAGAACTGTTCTGTGTAGTCCTGGAGCAGCAGACACAAGAATGCATCTGTAAAACTGAGGTCTAGCCAGGCACAGTGGCTGGCATCTGTAAGTCCCAGCCATTCAGGAGGTGAAAGCATCACAATGACGTGACTCCAAGCAGTCAAGCAGTCAGGACGAGTCTGAGCTATCCCGTCTCAGAAAGGAATAAAAGTTAGCACCAGGATACAGCTCTGTGCTAGAGTGCTTACTTAGCCCTGAGTTTGCACATTACGAAAAAGAAAATAAAGAAGAAATAACTTTTGGACTGTTCATCACTGTGCACAAATAATGTGCTTTGACTGTATAACATTTTATAAAAAAAAAAAAAAATCATCCAGGAAGTTGGGGGATCCCAGGATGGAGCTCAGACAGTGGCAAAAGACTCTCACCATACACAGACAAGTCACATGGCCAGGCTAAGAAACAGAGGAAACAGCGTTTTGATGGGAAACTATAAAACACAGAAAAGGAACCACAGGCCCGTAAGCAAGCTCGCTTTATGCAAGAGCAGGCACATGATTCTGTAACCACCTCACACACGCAGGGGCTGCACAAGCATGTGAGGGCCCTCGGGCAGCTGAGAGCCGGTGTCACACTGCTGGGGGGTGTAGGGGGACAGGTCAGCTGGAGGAGACGAAGACGCGCCCGTGGGCTGACCCCCATCTGGGGTCTCAGCGTGCTTTATTCGGTGTGCACAGGCAGCGAGAGGGAGAAGTCCTTACAGGCATGTGCTGCTCCAACAGGAGCACACACCCGCACTTCCTAGCTCTGAGCAGGGCTGGAAGCAGTGACAGCCCAGTGCAGAGGCACACTCTGCACTCAGGTTGTGGCTGCTAATAAGAGTTTTCCAGCGAAAAATAAGAGATTCCTTGGGGAACAGCTGATTCCAGAGCTGGGCCAAGGAAAATCCAAGTTGAGCCTTGGGTGTCTTGTAACAGCCAGGAAGTCAGGAAATAGACAAAAAAAAAATCAAAACGACGGGCATGTCAGAGGGACACAGGAGCTGGCCTGAAAGAGCTCCTGGCCAAGGTTGGGATATCTGAGCAATGTAAACAGCAGGACAGGTCATGCGGCTCTCATTCCTCCAGACTGAAGCGATGAGGTGGCCCTGCACCTCAAAAGCTAAAAACCCATCCCCATCGCAGGGAAGACATCAGACAACCGCAAACTCAGGAGCAATCTACAACGTGCTTGCCCA